CACCATGTAAATATCCTATATCTCTTTAAAATTTCATCTGTATATTAATTAGCATTCCTAGGTAATTTCTACATGAGCCAATCTTTTCTGTGATAGTTGCAAAATGATGATTTTCTAACTTCACTCCTTCCACGTTGCTCCTTGGTGCCTTTGCTTCTAGGCTCTTTTAGCAGATTGAGCTCAGGAATAGATGCATGCATATAGATGTGTGTACATGGGTGTGTACATATACAGGCACATATTTATGTGCCTGTATACTGTATGTGTATGTACACATGTAAATCCATTTACACTTACATACATCAGAGATCATGAGAGCATACCGATACCTCTGCTTGCAGTCCAACCCCACAGAGCACTTTACCTTTCCCTGTCCGTATTTATATTTCCCATTTTTCCCCATGCGGAGAATCCTCCCTTCAACAGCATCAGCATGTGTACTAATTTGGCCAATTCTGTAGTGCATCTAAAATAGTTTCAGAGTTGCTTCATCTGTACTACTGCACTGCTGCACACCGGACCTGCCTATAGGAAAGAATTCAGGATAATTTTTAGTTCTCTCTACCGAGATTTGCTTTCTCCTCCTCCATTTCCCAGATTGAGGGTATGCTGTGTTCATAATTTCCTTTTTATCTTTTTTCAGTGTGGCTTGGCGTTTTACTGAAATACAGTAGGGTTCATTTGTTGTACTGTGTTTCTAATTGTTGCTTTTCAGTTGTCCCTTCCAAATATAAGAAATTTTAATAACTTAAATGTAACATTTAAACTACTTTCAGAAGATATATTTTTATAATGGACCACTGGCTGCCTTAAAAATATTATATACAGTAGCAGTTTTATTTTCTTTTGTTTCAAGAGCGCTCCAGATTACTTGTTGAGGCACTTTTATGATGGTTGCTTTATTTATTTATTTATTAAATGTTTTTTATTTATTTCTAGGAGAGAGAGAGAGAGAGACAGCGTGAGCAGGGGAGGGTCAGAGAGAGAGGGAGTCACAGACTCTGAAACAGGCTCCAGGCTCTGAGCTGGCAGTCAGCACAGAGCCCGATGCGGGGCTCGAACCCACGAACCGCGAGATCATGACCTGAGCGAAAGTCGGACGCTTAACCGACTAAGCCACCAGGGCGCCCCTATGTTGGTTGCTTTAAAATTCTTATCCGATGTGGAGAAACGGGCACCCTCCTGCACTGTTGGTGGGAATGTAAACTGGTACAGCCCCTCTGGAAAACAGTGTGGAGGTTCCTCAGGAAACTAACAATAGAACTCCCTTATGACCCAGCAATAGCACTGCTAGGAATTTACCCAAGGGATACAGAAATGCTGAGGCATAGGAGCACATGTACCCCAATGTTCATAGCAGCACTCTCCACAATAGCTAAAACATGGAAAGAGCCTAAGTGTCCATCAACAGATGAATGGATCAAGAAGATGTGGTTTATCTATACCATGGAATACTACATGGCAATGAGAAACAATGAAATCTGGCCATGTGTAGCAACATGGATGGACCTTGAGGGTGTTATGCTGAGCGAAATAAGTCAGGCAGAGAAGGACAAATACCATATGTTTGCACGTATAGGAGGTTTAGGAGGAACTTGACGGAGGAACAAGGGGGAGAAGAAGGGCGGAAATGGTGGGGGAAAGGGAGAGAGGCAAACCATGAGAGACTCTTGAATGCTGACAAAAACTGAGGACTGATGGATGTGGGGGGGAGGGGGGATGGGCATGAAGGAGGGCACTTTGGGGATGAGCACTGAGTGTTATGTAGAAACTAATTTGACAATAAACTATTTGTAAAAAAAAAAAAAAAAAAAAAAAGAAAATCACACTGCTTTAAATGAAGTCCCTTTCTTTTATTTGGTATTTTTAGATAGCATTCAGTTAGACAAAATCTTTAAAACTAATTTTCCCCCAAGTTCTCTGCTACATTAGTATATTTGAGAATTGTGTTTTTGTAGAGCTAATATGTTAGGATAAAGATGAAATCTTTTAATAAAATCTTTATATTAAATGTTAAAAAAAAAAAAATTCTTATCCGATAAGTTTCAAGATTGGAGTCATCTCAGTGTTAGCATCTGTTGACTGTCTTTTCTAATTGAAGGTATTATTTTCCTGCTTCTTAGTTGACAAGAGTTTTTATTGTGTCCTAGACATGTTGACTGTAATATGAGATTCTAGTTCTTTTTTAAATATTCTCCTTTAGCAGGCACTCACCCTGTGTACGTTTCACATGCAGATCCAGGCCTACTTCTGTGGACCGTGGTTCTAATGACTGTTTAATTTTCAGAGTCCTTACAGTGTTGACCTGTTCAGCTTCACTTAATTACTACCTGGAGGGCACTCGGAAAATCTGGTCTTTTATACTGTGCTCCAGTTCTCAAACCTTTTGGCCTCTAAAATTAATTTTTAGAATATTTCACATGTGAGTTGCTCAAGAATGTGTTTAGGATTTCCCGTGCAGGTTTAAAGGATGCTTTTCTCCAGGTTTTGTCTCTTTGAGATCCTCACTCCAATCACTAGTTAGAGGGTGAGAGTGCTACCTGCTACTGCTGGCTGCGGTCTGGGTTTCTCACTTGGTCTCCACTGGCCCTGTGTTGCTGGGGAACACAACCCAATCCTCCTGTTACCGCTGGGTGGAGAAGCGGTGGGGGAGGGGCGGAATCCATACTCCACCCTTACTCTCTGATTGTGCTGTAGAGGGCAGGAAGCAGCAGCAGTGTTTAGCTGGAGTACGTCAGGTCAGATATTGTCAAAAAGTTTTTTGGTTTCCTCCTTTCACAGTGCTTTGCTAGAAAAATGGTTTCTTGTGGGGGGGGAGGTGGCGGTTGGTAGCTCTGAGTTGCAGGCTTCATCAGAGCCCAGTCTGGGATTTATAGAAGATAAACAGAAAGCCCAAAGAACTCACCATCATGTTGTTCCTTAACTTCTGAAGCCCTTAGCCAGTCCATCTTACTCCTTCTACCTTTAAGAGTTCTCATAATTGTTATCTTACATCCAAGGGTTTTAGTTATAATTACTGAGGAACAATATGAGATATCAGAAGAGAAATGAGTCTAGTCCATCTTCTTTGGAACTAGAAGTTCTCTATCATGTATTTTGAATTTCTGTTCTAGGTGCAGGCACATTTAGGATTGTTAGGTTTTCTTAGTGAATTAACTCTTTTATCATTATGTAATTTCCCTCTTTATCTCTGATAACATTCGTTGTTCTGAAGTCTGTTGTGCTTCATATTAATATAGCTATTCCAAGTTTCTTCTCTTCAGTATTTACATGATACATCTCTTTCCATACCTTTATTTTGGACCTATCTATGTCTTTTATTTAAAATGCATTCTGAGGTGCCTGGGTGGCTCAGCTGGTTAAATGTCCAACCCTTGATTTCGTCTCAGGTCATAATTTCAGTCTGTAGGTTCAAACTCTGTCTATGGCTCCTCACTGGCAGTTGCAGGGTTTGTTTGGGGTTCTCTCTGTCTCTCTTTTTCTCTCCCTTACCCACTGCGTGCATGCCTGCATGTTCCCTCTCACTCACTCATTCAAAATAAATAAACTTAAAAAAATAATAAAATGGTTCTTTACTGAAAGCATATAAAAGTCTTGCTTTTTTATATCCAGTCTGCATTCTCTATCCCTTATTGATGCTGTTAAACCACTTACAGTTAATGTACTTATTGATATAGTTGGCGTTTTCTGTTTGTTCCATCTGTTTTTTATCCCATTTATTTGTTTATTTGCTCTCTTTTGGATTGAGTATTTTTTATTCATACATTTTATTTCTACTTTGGGCTTATTTTACCTCTTTTTGCAAAAGTTTTAGTGGTTGATGTAGGATTTATAATAAGCACCTGTAAGTAGTAACGGTCTACCTTCAAACGATATACTGCTTGACTTACAGTGTAAATGTAACCTTACAACAGTAGACCCTCAATCCCTAATTCTTTGTGTTGTTGCCATGAGTTTTACACTTTTACCTATGATATTAACACAATATATTGTTGTTTTAAACGGTCAGTTATCTTTTAGAATAGTTAAAAATAAGAAACATATTTTGTCTTTACCTTCATTTTTACCATTTCTAACACTCTTCATTTTCTCTTCTAGGAAGAGATAAGTTTCTGGTTTCATATTTCCTCTGCTTGAAGAATTTCTTCTGACACTTTTTACAGTACAAGTCTGCTAATAATATATTCTCTCAGTTTTTGTTTGTCTAAGAAAATCTTTAGTCCTCCTTCATTTTTGAAAAATACCTTCATTGATATAGAATTCCTGATTGGCATGGCTTTCTCTCTAAACTTTTAATTCATCACTCCATTATCTTCTGGCTTGAATAATTTCTAATGAGAAGCATGATATAATGCTTGAATTTTCTTTATGTAACATATTCTTTCTCTGACTCACACAGATTTTCTCTGTGTATCTGTGTTATATATGTTGTATTTTGTTTTGTTTTTGCATTCTGCGTAATGTTCTTTGAGTTTCTTGCATTTGTGGTTTGATGTCTTTTATATGTGGCAAATTCTGACCATTCGATCTTCAAATATTTTTTCTCTTCCCTTTTTTCTTCTTCTTTTGGGATTTCTGTTGCATGTATTCTGGACCTTTTGATATTGCTCCATGGGTCTTAATGCTCTGTATCTAAAAATGTAAATTTGTATCGAGTACATTGGAGTTTGAATAGATATCTGCTAAGAATTGAGTTCACACTAACAAGTTAATTGACATATTCCATTGGGACTGCTGTTTCTACCTATATTCTTAAAGGAAGGAGCAAAGTGACTTTACTGTGTTCCTATGGTTATGTCTTAAACTGTTGTGCATGTGTAAGAGTTCAGTGTTTTACTCCATGTTATTTTTTAAATCTTCTCTTTTTCGATAACTTTGGACTTAGAGAAAACTTATAAGAATAGAACGGGGAGTTCACATATACCCATTACCTAGCTTTAGGGCAGTCCAGTGATCAAGACCATGTAATTAATACTGCCTGTATGTTCTTATTTTAACAGCTGCTGAAATCGTTCAAGAAATTGAAACCATGGAGAAGACTCGGATGCGTCTTGAAGCTAGTAAACTCAACGAAAGCGTATGTTGATGGTCTCTTTCATTATCTGGGTAGAAAAATTGAATGCCCAGGAAAATTAAATCTGTTCAGTGGGAAATGTCCTGGAACACATTTCTATTTAATGTATTTAATGATTTAATTGCAGCTCATTTTTAGCACACAACTCTATCACAGTTAGCAGTCTTCTAGGGCTAAGTACAATCCAAAGTAGAGTGTATTAATGAATTATAGTCCTGTGGAAAAAGCATATGCCTGAATATCTGGTATTGATATTAGTCCTTTCTCTGCTGGTTGCATTTGATAAGCTCTTAACATCTGTGTCCCTTAGGATCTTTGTAAAACTCAGGAGTTATATGATCTCTAAGATATCCCCTTTTAGCTCTGGCATTCTGTAATTCTGTGATTATGCTGATGAAGAAATTAAGTAATTGTAAGACTTAATGAAGATTGAGTATCTATTGAGCTTGTTGAGGGAATCAGAGACCTAAAATTCTTTGCTATTGCCTTCTTCTAGTTTGATGGTCCAAAACTTGAGGAAAGGATACCAAAGAAGAAAATAGTCATTGTGTCCTGTGACACTGAAGGAGGTGTTATGGGCTCTCCCAAATAGACTTTTTTTCCTACACCATTGGGAATGTTGAGGAAAGGATAACAAAGAAGAAAATATAGTCATTGTGTCCTGTGACACTGAAGGAGGTGTTATGGGCTCTCCCAAGTAGACTTTTTTTCCTACACCATTGGGAATGTGTTTGTAAGGAAAGCAACGACCTTAGGGAAGTAAGTTTATAATCAGATAGTAGGAAAAAAATGAGATTTTCATTGATTTTTTTTTTACTGTGTGTGTGCTAACTGTAAGATGGAGACTGTAATGAGTCATGTAAGTAGATTTCTGATCTCTTAAGTCTAAGATTTTCAAAAGTAGAAGTAGAAATTTAACACACTAAGTGTTATATTTTCTTCATTTATTACCTTTCCAGTAGACTTGGAGAGGTTAGGTTGGAAACAGAAGTCAGATAAGAAAATCTGCCTTATTAATGATCTGCTAAATACTTTTTCAGACTTGTAGTTTCAAGTGTTACCTGTTGTATTAATGAATATGAAAAATTAAATATTGAAAATAAATTTAACTGATCATTGTGTTACTACTTCATGTTAGTGTTAATATGAATATTAGTGTTGCATTTTCTACAGATGAGAAAACAGTAATGAGTAACAGGTATACTACTTATGATATTCAAAGGAAGTACACAGGAGTTACTCTTCCTAGGTTTATATGTAACAGAGATAAGAGGTTATTTTCCCCAATTTTAACATTTGTAGTACTAACTTCAGTTTTTGTCACTTTTTGAATTTTTAATTAAGATCTTTTGGATTATTTTAGATAATGGTTTTTACAAAGGACCAAACGGAAAAAGAAATAGATGAAATTCACAGTAAATATCGTAAGTTGTGTGGCATTTTCTTTATTTGTAGAGAGCTTGGGTTGCGGGTTCATCTTAAATAATTTTTCTTAATTTTTTAAAATAAGTTCTTATAATGTTAGAAACTTTTCTTGTCTATTACTTAAGTAACTGAATGTTAGTTGTTTACTCAGTGACCTTTCTTGTAACTCTGTGCGCCTGCTTTTTGATTTCTAACATTCTTCTTTGAGCTTATCACTAAGCACTTTAAAATATTAATTAGCTGCTCTCAAGCATCTCTGTGAAAATAAAATGGAGTTAAAATGGGAACATTCCTGACTTTCCATCTTGTCCTCAGGCCACTCACTGCAACACTTGTGTGAAGAATTTCAGCACTTCTGTAACTTGCAAATTTATGCAAAATAGTCTTCATTTTATCAGTTATTACCAACTTCCAACTTACTTCCTTTTCCTTATTAGGCTTTCCGCATGTATCGTTTCTAAAGCTAGCACATTCATGTTTTGTCACTTCGGTACCTGTTATTGTTTGGTTGGTTGTTTTCTAGTTTAAATTTATATTTAAGTACCTGACAAACAGGTAGTTAATAAATATGAAATGATATTCCACACATGATATTGTATTTGCTGTGCTATCAGAATTCTCTTCTCTTCCCTTCCCTTCCCCTTCCTCTTCCCCTTCCTTCCTTCCTTCCTTCTTTCCTTCCTTCCTTCTTCTTCTTTCCTTCCTTCCTTTCCTTCAGTTCTTAAGCTTTGAATGTGTAGGTTCAGGAAAGATCTCTTTGGGAGGGGAGATGAAGTACAGAGGCACTAGATACAGGTGAGATGGCCTGTGCCTTACCAGAGTAGGAAAAGGAGCCTAGAGCATTCATGGACCTTAGACTGAACAACGAAAGTCAGCGTTTTTCAGTTGTTAGAAGGATAAGTGTGATGGAAGCCTCCTAATTAATATTTGGGAAGCCAACGCAATTTTTCTTGAGGCAGAAGATAGAGCATATCAAGTGACCACTGAATTGCCAAAAATAAGGAAACCAGCCAATTTGCTGGAGAGAAAATAACTTAAACCGTTAAAAGAATAATGTCTAACAATTATGCCATACTGAGAAAAATATGAGTTAGATTTAGGCAAGAAAAGATATAACTATCGCTCCCCATTTACATATCTTTAAAAAAAAAAGTTTAGAGACAATAGAAATTTGTATCTTTACTAGGTACGTCATGTTAAGTTAATGCATTTAGCCCTAAAATAAATCTCTATGTTTTTAAAAAATGCATGAAATAGACAACTGCCTTGAAAGACACAAACTACTAAACCTATTCAAGAAGAAATAATAGACAAATTGAAAATCCCAGGTCCAAATAGGTTCACTGGTGAATTCTATGAAGTATGTAAGGAAGGAAATAATATTAATTTTAGACATATTCTGCTAGAAAATTGAAATGGAAGGAATACTTCTTTCCTCATTTTATGAGGCTGAAGTTTCCATGAAACTAAAAACCAAAGACGATATAATAAAAGTTCATGAGGTGCCTGGGTGGCTCAGTCCGTTAAATGTCTGACTTCGGCTCAGGTCATGATCTCGTGGTCCATGAATTCAAGCCCCCTGTTGGGCTCTGTGCTGATGTCTCAGAGCCCAGAGTCTGCTTCAGATTCTGTGTCTTCCTTTCTCTGTGCTCCTTCCCTACTCGTACTCTGTCTCTGTCTCTTTCTCTCTCTCAAAACTAAATAAACATTAAAAAGAAAAAGTGCTGACCACTATTCCTCATGAACATGGATGCAAAAATCCTTAACAAAATGTTAGTAAATTAAATCTGGCAATACATATACAGGATAATACATCATAACCAAGTGGGATTTATCCTAACAATGCAAGATTGGTTTAATTAGAAAATTATTGTAATTCACTGTATTAAGGAACTAAAAAATAATGCTATATGATTTTCTGAGTAGATGAAGAATAAGCATTTGACAAAATTGAACACCCATTTATAATAAAAACTCTTATCAAAATAGAATTTCTTCAATCTGGTAAAGAATATCTATAGGAAACCTAAAACTAGCATCATATTTCATGATGAAATATTAAATACTTTTCTTCTGATTGGGAATAAGGTAAATGTATTTTTCTTACCTTTTTTATTGTACTATAGGTCCTAAACAGTGTGAAGGAAAAAAGAGTAAATAGTATACAGATTTTAACAGAAGGAATAAAACTTTATATTCACAGTTGACATTGTCATCTTTCGCATCTAGTATGAATCGTGTAAGAAAAAGCTAAAAGGAAATGTGATGTTATATTTCAGTAGAATTTAGCATTTACTCTTTAAAAGGCAAATATGAGAATGAAAATTCAAGCCATAGATTGTGAGAAAATACTGCAAAATTTATATTTGACAAAATACTAGTATCTAAAGGGGCGCCTGGGTGGCTCAGTCAGTCAAGCGTCCAACTTCGGCTCAGGTCACGATCTCACGGTTCATGGGTTCGAGCCCCACGTCAAGCTCAATGCTGGCAGCTCAGAGCCTGGAGCCTGTTTTGGGTTCTGTGTCTCCCTCTCTCTCTGGCCCTCCCCTGCTCACGCTATCTCTCTTTCTCTCAGAAATAAATAAAACATTAAAAAAAAAAATACTAGTATCTATATTATGTAAAGAACTTTTAAAATTCAATAATAAGGCATATGGCACATATTTTTTAAAGGGCAAAAGATTGAAGCATACTTCAAAATAAATATTTAAATGTCAAGTGACCATGTGAAAATATATGGCTAATCTTATTAGTCATTAGTCTTTAGGAAATTATAATTTTAAAAAAAATTTTTAGTATTTATTTTTGAGAGAGAAAGATACAGAGCATGAGCAGGGGAAGGACAGAGAGAGAGCGGGAGAAACAGAATCCAAAGCAGGCTCCAGGCTCTGAGCTGTCAGCACAGAGTCTGACACAGGACTCAAACCCACAAACTGTGAGATCATGACCTGAGCCAAGATCAGATGCTTAACTGACTGAGCCACTCAGGTGCCCCAAGAGAATATAATTGTGAATGAAATAATACTATATACTTATTTTAATGGAAAAAAAAAAAAAAAGGATAATACCAAACTGCTGGCCAGGATATGGAGCAAATGCATTGTTGGTAAGAATGCAAAATGATACAACCACATAGGTAAACAGTTTAGCAGTTTGTTTTAAGGTCATATACCTCCATACAACCTAGTCATTCTACTCCTAGCTGTTTATCCAAGAGAAATGAAAGCATATATCCACACATAGATTTTTGAAGTCAGATTTATTGAGATATATAATTTCCAACAAGGAAAATTCATGAGTTGTATTAAACAATTTCAAGAGTATTATGGACAAATATTAGAGCAGCTTATCCATATTATCCTAAACTGAAAACAACCTAAATATCCCTAAATACATTGTGATATATCCATATACAATGGAAAAGTACTTAACAATAAAAAAGGATGAACTCTTGCCCTCTGAAGCCACATGGATGGACATCACTTACATTGTGCTACAACAAAAGCCAAGCTAAAAAGGTAGCATCTTGAATGAACATTTTTATAAAGTTCTAGAAAGGTAAAAATCAGAAACAGAAAGCAAATTGGTACTGCCAGCTGCTGTGATGGGGGGACAAAGGGATCACAAAGGAACTCTTTTGGGTGATTTATCTTCTGTTTCATGATTGCATTGGTAGTTACATGACTATAGGTTTTTTTTTTTAAAAAATGGATCAAATTGTTCATTTCAAATTGATGAATTTTATTATGTGTAAATTATTGCTTGGGAAGTCTGATTTTATTTTTATTTATTTATTTTCCCCCAAGAAAATAAATTTTATTTATTTAAAATAGTTAATATCTGGGGCGCCTGGGTGGCTTAGTTGGTTAAGCTTCCGACTTTCGCTTAGGTCATGATCTCACGGTTTGTGGGTTCGAGCCCCGCGTCGGGCTCTGTGCTGACTGCCAGCTCAGAGCCTGGAGCCTGTTTCAGAGTCTGTGACTCCCTCTCTCTCTGACCCTCCCCTACTCATGCTGTCTCTCTCCTAGAAATAAATAAAACATTTAAAAAAAAAAATTTTTTTAAATAGTTAATATTTTTATTTTTTATTTATTTTTTAAAATAGTTTATTGTCAAGTTGGTTTCCACATAGCACCCAGTGCTCATCCCCACAAGTGCCCTCCTCCATGTCCATCACCCCCCTTCCCCTCCCCCACCCCCATGTGCCCTCAGTTTGTTCTTGGCATTCAAGAGTCTCTCATGGTTTGCCTCCCTCCCTCTCCCCCACTATTTTTCCCCTTCTCCTCCCACATGGTCCTCCATCAAGTTCCTCCTAATCCACCTATACGTGCAAACATCTGGTATCTGTCCTCTGCCTGACTTATTTCGCTCAGCATAACACCCTCAAGTTCCATCCACATTGCTACAAATGGCCAGATTTCATTCTTTCTCATTGACATGTAGTATTTCATTGTATAGATAAACCACATCTTGGTCCATTCGTCCGTTGATGGACACTTAGGCTCTTTCCATGATTTGGCTATTGAGAGTGCTGCTACGAACATTGGGGTCCATGTGCCCCTATGCATCAGCACTCCTGTGTCCCTTGGATAAATTCCTAGCAATGCTATTGCTGGGTCAGAGGGGAGTTCTACTGTTAATTTTTTGAGGAACTTCCACATTGTTTTCCAGAGGGGCTGCACCAGTTTACATTCCCACCAACAGTGTAGGAGGGTGCCCGTTTCTCCACATCCTTGCCAGAATCTAGAGTCCTCTGATTTGCTCCTTTTAGCCACTCTGACCAGTGTGAGGTGGTATCTCAGTGTGGTTTTGATTTGTATTTCCCTGATGAGGGACGCTGAGCATCGTTTCATGTGTCTGTTGGCCATCTGGATGTCCTCTTCAGAGAAGTGTCTGTTCATGTCTTCTGCCCATTTCTTCATTGGATTATTTGTTTTTCGGGTGTGGAGTTTGGTGAGTTCCTTATACATTTTGGATACTAGCCCTTTAACTGATATGT